CCCCCCCCCCCCCCCCGCCGGGTGTGGTTTCGTGTCTTGCATGTGGGGCGTGATCGTATTCTTGTGTGGGGTATGAAACCGTGTGTCATGAGAATGCGATGTTCATGCACCACCTAGCTCGTGTCAGGAGATGGCGCCCCTTTATTACAGTGTGCGCCCCAGTTTTGTTTTCATTCAAGGGTCACGCCTCTGCTCTAAATGACCCTGCTTTGCACCTATGCACGTGCCGTTTCTCGACTCTTGGGGATCGTGGCGTGGCAGGTATTCACCACGCTGGCGCTCCTCAACATAACCCAGTTCACGTTGGGCAAGTTCCTCTACCTGGCCGTTCAGACCTCCATCGAGAGCTGGGTGTCCATCAAGCGCATAGAGACCATCCTGCTTATGGAGGTGTGTGATGGGTCCACGACATCGCCCGCATCGTCGCAATCAAAATCCAATCTTCTTGCCATGGCTCCGAAGGCCACCTTCCGCAGGCTCTTGGTTTTGCCTTCCCCCACACCGGCGTAGCCAGTGGAGAGGTCAACCCTTTGCGATCGGCACAACCAGGTTTTTGTCGTCTCGTTTCTTGTGGACGGCATTCGCTGCCCCTTTCGGTATACGTTCTGGACGTATCAGCCGGGGCCATACACACAAGAGGATGGAAAACGAATCGTACAATGTGTTTCTGGTGAGCATCCCTACATATTGGCGTCGTCGGCAGCAAACGATGTGTATCCATTGTTTCGGCCCATGCGTTTGCTTTTTTTTCCGACTACAATATATTTACACGCTCTGGGTTCGCCCACCGCCCCTGCTGTCATCACGACCACACTTGCGACTGCGGCCGGCGATGCCGCCGCTGTCGACTGCTTCGTGATATTGTACAGGAGAATGAGGATCTGACTGCCCCACTGCGAGAGTTCGACCTAGCCATCAAGCCGGATAAGGGCGCGCCACCCAAAAGCCCTGCTGCGGCCGCCGCCGCCGCCTCTTCGACACCACCACAGTCAGGGTCTTCCCCTTCCCCCCTACCCTTGATGGCCTCCAGCGGCGGGGCCCCTACCGTCGTCGAGGCAAAGACGGCCGAGGCGGGAGCAGCCTGTGCACCATCAGCGGCGGCAGCAGTCGTTGTCGCAGGGGAGGCAAGGGAGGGACCGTCGATGGCAGGGTTCGTTCGAGGTGCTCGTGAACAAGTGGGAGGTGGGGTTGGCGATGGAGGGAATGGTACTGACGAGTGGCCGGGACTAGTTTCGTTGAACGAGGCGAGCTTCCGATGGACCAGCGGGAGGGAAGAGGACCAGCACGCCAAGGTTTTTCGCGGATTGATAGAGATAAAGAAGAAGCGAAAGGTGTGCGATGCGCACCGAGGGAGGGTGGTTCGGAGATATTGCGGGAAGAGTCAACAAGAACCGTTCGTCGATGTGTTCTTGTTGGGTTCATGTGTAGGGCCGTTCGTAGTTGTCCTTGAATACGGTAGAATCAGGAACTAGACGTCTACGGGAAAAAGTATTGGTAGGACGTGCCGTGATAGTTGCCTCCTGTGGTGTCGACGTAGGGTTATGGCGAGATGAAGGTGTGAGTTTTTCCTCGTGGCGGCGCGAAGGGTGCAGGTGATTGTTGGCGTTTGCGCGGTGTATGGAGGCAAGCAACGGGCGGCACAATGGCGTCGAATCAAGAGGCCGCGACGATGAACACCGCTGGTTGCAATGATTCGTACAATGAAAAGTGGTTTGCAGCGAAAAGGGCTGGTTGATCGCTCCGTCGGATGTGGAAATTCCGATTGAATCATAGGGTACGTCTACCACCTGCCATTTGTCTCCCATCACTAGACTCACGCTTCGGTTTGATCCAGGACTTGTTTCAGCCGACTCAGGACAAAGGGACCAGCAGCGGCGCTGACTCTGCGACTGTAGAGAACAACGAAGCTGAAACCAAAGCTGAAGGTGAACTTCCTTCATGTCTGCCACCGCTGTGTGGGGCATTCATGCCTCAACTCATGGGGCGATGCCAAGAAAGATTCTATCGCACCGTCTCTCTTGACGATCGGGGTACAGTGGTATGTCTTGTGACGTATCACACACCGGGGCCCCTCCCTGATGTCGACTTAGCGTCAACAAGCCGTTTGGAATCGCCGTGGCTTCTACAGTATAGTGTTAAGCCCACATTGAGACCGGGAGGCGAGGGGAGGACTACTGTGTCGTACCATGCATTGCCACAGGAGTGGCCTGGAAATGGCGCCACGGTGTATGATAGGTTGCGTTTTGGTGTTGTGTTTGGCAGTTCTTTGTTGCCGGCGCCATTATTCCTTACCGTACGGGTACAATTGGACAAATATATTGCTCGTACCACGGACCGAGGATAGTACCAGGCATGTAATCGGCATACTCACAAGCTAACCCACGTTGTTTTGTACAATCCATGTACGACTTGTGATTTTCAGGACTGACCCTTGACGCCATCGACCTGCGGATCGAGCCGGGGCAGCTCGTGGGAGTGATCGGGCCAGTCGGCTCCTCCAAGAGCTCGTTGCTCATGGCCATACTCAGGGAGATCACGCCGGAGAGGACGTCTGGCGGGGCAGGGACGGCGGCAATCGATGGTGGTGCCGGCCACGGCCACGGCGAGGTGCATGTTGCCGTAATTTCAGCTTGCGCACGACGGGAAGGGGGGGGGGGGGGCAATAGTCCCGAG